AGATATAACAGATTGGCGACGCCCGAACCCACAGAATCATGACAATAACTGCTGAAGCGTTGAAAGAAATTCTGCTGCAACAACAAAACCAGTTTGACGCGGCGCAATTACGTTTGGTGGAAACAATGACGCAGCAACTTAATATCCAAACGCCAAATTCCGCTCCGGATACAAATTCAGTCGACTTGATCGCCAACAGCATCACGGAGTTCCATTATGACCCTGATGCCGGCCTAACCTTCGATTCGTGGTTCAGACGTTACGAAGATGTTTTACACTGAAGCACAAAGATGATGCCTGGAGAGTACGCTTATTGCTCAGAAAGCTTGGTACGACGGAACACACGCGTTATTCCAACCGTATCCTGCCTAAGAACACGCGAGATCTCAGTTTTGACAAAACCGTGAAGCAACTCTCAAAGATTTTCGGTGAGCGTTCGTCCTTGTTTAATATTCGCTACCAATGTATGAAACTGGCGGACACGGAATCTGAGGACTACATCACTTATGCCGGTAGAGTCAACCTTGAATTCGAAAAATTCGAGTTATCTACCATGACGGAAGACCAGTTCAAGTGCCTTATTTTCGTATGTGGTCTTCAGTCGCATTCAGACAGTGATATCAGGGTGAGACTATTGAGCAAGATTGAACAAACTCCCGAGATAACGCTGCAGTCAATTACCCATGAGCTCCAGCGCCTTTTAAATCTCATGCATGACACGGCCATGTTGGAGGAGCCCTTATCCAACCCTGCTTTCAACATTGCCAAGACGACGTCGAAGCAACCTCCTGTGGTGACAAAGTCGAATAGAGCAAAGCCTCTTTCAGCATGCTGGCAATGCGGCGAATGACATTTTGTGCGATTGTGTCCGTATAAAAAGCACAAATGTTCAGTGTGCAATTGACGTGGGCACAAGGAAAGCCAGTGCCGGACGCGGGAAGCTAGCCAAAGACGCAGTCAGACCCGGAGGTCACGAAGTCAACGGAACCAATCAGAACCACGTTTTAACGCAATACTTGCAACATTCGATAACCAGATCGATGCTCGTCGCAAGTATGTCACAATCAGAGCAAACGGAAGCACAATTCGATTGCAGCTCCACACGGATTCTGATATTACAATTGTTTCCCGGCGCACCTGGAGAAAGATCGGATCACCAAAACTCAGACCGACAATCAACACTGCCAGAAATGCTTCAGGTGGTAAGCTTCAACTGCTTGGTGAATTTGATTGTGAGATGGAGATAGCAGGCCAAGAAAGTGTCCAAATCATTTGCTTGAGAAGCCATGTGTGTCGGTCCTTGACGGAACTTTCACAGGCAGCGCAGTAGACTAACTTTTTAACCTACAAAACGGCAGACCAATTAATTAGACTTTG